GAAGCCAAGCAATCAGTTTTAGAGGAAAAAAGACACAGGTTTCCATATTTTTAGCATCCTGGGGTTGCTAAGCTTTGCAGTTCCCATTCTCTTCTCAAGAGATAAAAGCAGTGACAGCACCCACAGCTGCTCATGGAAACCAACAGGTCCTCACATGTATGCAATCAAAGACACAAACCAAGCCAGAGGGTTCAAACCTTCCTTCTCTGCTTGCTCCCCACTGAAGGGCCACTAGAAGCAACTCACATTTCCTCAGCTTCTCATGTGGAAGAACAGCAGCAGAACAGCAGCGTCACTGCTGTCACTGCAGAGCTTTGTGCCTATCCTTTGCCTCCTGCAGTAACTGCTCAGGTTGTCTTCCTCCCTCATATTCATCTCCACAGCTAAGTCCTGCTGCTTCTTTTCTCCAGGAAATCCTCCAAAACAGCCAGCTCTTTTGCCACCAAATCCATAAAAAGCCCTAAAATCTAGGCAGTAATAACACAAATACAGCAGTATTTCTAGGGAATGTTTTATTTTCTTAGATACAGGCTACAAAAAGATGAAATTAATGTTGAGTATGCACTGGTGATTCGTGGTTTTGGAAATACCTGGTCTTCACCAAAAAAAAAAAAAAAAAAAAAAAAAATCAAACAAACAAACAAACAAAAAAACAGGTATTGAAAAGAAATCCTCAAATGATTGCTACCAACTTAAGCTACAAAGACGCTACATCTGGAGAAGCATGATCAGAGCACTCTAAATAACCTTACTTCTGCATTATAATGAAATAAAAACCACCATTGGTCCCAATTCACTTGCTTTTAGAGACATTAGATCTTCAGTTTTATTTTTACTTCTCCCTCTTCTTACCTTTTCACTACCCTGCTCTTACTAACTTGTATTACTATCAGCCGTTCAGAAACAAAGAGAAAGCCCCCAAAATTACAGCTCTTAAAGCTCTTTAAAAATGACAACTTAGAGGTAAGTTATCCAAATTCTGTGTTTACAGTAAGCACTGCCATGCAAGAGAGCACTGTGACAGCACTGAAATCCCTACTACACAGACAAAACTTCCTTCTCTTAACTATGGACCCATCTTTACAGCTTTTTATTTCCTCTTTCAGTACTTACTTGTTCCCTTGCCCTTCCACTTTCTGAAGTATGAAGCACGATGCAACAGTGGATGAACTTGAAGAGTATCAGAGAAAACCTGTGTGAGAAATATGAAACTATGGAAAAGGGCTTCTAATAGGGTGAAATGTATCTTTCATGGATTTACTCAGCACAGGCGATGCTCTGCTGGAAACAGAACACAACATATTTCAGGTTTGAAGTAAAGGCTGTTTTGGTGAAAGGTCCAAAATGGTTGGAAATCAAGGTCAGGATGGATGCACAGCAGCCATGTAAATGGGAACTTTTCTTGTGGTCTAGTGAAAAATTCAAGGCCAACATTTTTGCTTTGTAACAGGGTATTATCAAAGCAGTGAGTTAAAAACAGGCAGGCAAAAGTCGGAACTAGAGACAGTAACAGAGCAAATGCATTGCCCTGTGAAGTACGCTCGCTTTCAGATAGTCACTTATCACAGCAGTTCTGTGATAGAGGCAACAGACCCTTCCGTTCTCCTTGCTGCATTCGGTTTCACACACGACTATCTGCCCTGAGCACCAGAACAGCTTGCTTGGTTTCTGCCAAAGCAGCAGCCCTTGCTTATGGAGCTCTATATTTGGTCGTAAGCCACTGAACATCAAACAGCACAGACCCTTTCCTTATCACAACTATTTCCCTGAAGTGCCCAAGAATGACCACATCTTGTTCAGCACTTCTCGAGCTATCTTCAGCTCCAAACTTAGATTCTTCCACTTCACCCCTTATATTACTTCTAGTGCTTTGTTACAGAACAGAAATGCACCAAATGAAACGTGGGGCCGAATGGATTTCTTGACAAATTTCTCACTGAAATCAAGAGGGCTGGAATTTCATCTGTACGCTTCAAGATGATAGGAAGGGAGTGTTCACATTTATGAAATGGGGGTTGGATATTTATGTGGTGGCTATTTCTGATTGTCACTGCAAGGGCATGTAATACACAGCCAGACTGCAAGGCAATGGGGGCAAAATTCAAGCAGCCAGGAGGAAGACACCTGTGTTCCTCACATCACAGATATATTTTAGGTGGACATGCACATTTATCTCAATTTCAAGCTATTTCTGATTATGAAACATTCTACAGCACAGTATGAATGTTGTACTTAAGCTGTTGAGAGCTTTTAACTGCTAAATATTCTGTAAAATGTTTGGCGTTATTGAGAAACAAAATGATTTTCATCATACGTAAAAATGTCATCCGTTTAAAAGTCCAAAACAAAGCGTCATTGAATTTCACGTAAATGTGATGCTGTACTTCATTCCAAGGTGGAGAAAAATCTTAAAATAATCTACTTTGTTGTTGTTGTTTTGTTACCTATGCAAGCACAGTGTCTGTAAAATAACCACCTTCCTAGGTTTATAACGTGGTGACAGTTTTGCCCACCAATAGACGGAAGAGGGTACTTGCTAGGACTGCTGACATACCTTCAGCTGTAGGTGCTGGAACACGCTGCCGGAGCCCTTTGTTAATTTGAGGCTGCAGGAATAAATAATTAGTGGGGGTGTCTGATTACCCCACAGCAGCACAGGTCCTGATGTGCCTGTCGCTGCACCTCGCCATGACGGCTATCTGGAGATGCAGCAGACTGGCTGTCGAACCTGCATGCAGCCTCTCTTGTGTCCACCCCCACAAACACCGCTCTCTCTTTCCTAAAGGGAGAAGTCTCGTACATCTTCAAGACCCCAAACGTGATATTTTAACTGTGAAAATTAATAAGGCAGGAAGAAAACACCGAACACTAACAGCCTATTCTTAACAAGAACTCTTCAAAATGAAAATTACTAATACCTCAGTCTTTTCAATCTCCAGTTTCTAAAGCTCCTTCATTTATACAGAGATAATTAATAGAGCATTGAGCAATTAGGGACAAATGAAAAGTTTGATGACAATTAATGGTAAAGTACCTGCTGGTGACAACACAAGATAACAATTTTTGATCTTCTTATCCATAATGCATACACTGGCTGAGCACTGCAAATTGCTGTTGTGCTCCATACAGCCAGCACAAGGTAAACCTGACTTAAACTGAATGCATTTGTACACTTGGCACCTCCAACTGACACAACAGCATGCATCCCCACTACTTAATGTACCCCAATATGCAGAGTATTTAAAAGAAATACACATACATGTGTTACATATGTGTTCATATGTATATTGGCACACCGCCTATTAGCTTAAAAGTAACCCAGGAAAGTGTTACAAAAATGTACCCATCCTCTGTTAAGAGTACCAGATGTCAGCTTTTGATTGAATGATATTGGTTATTGTGCGTATGCAGTCACCTAACTCTGTGTGTTCAGAATTGCAGGGAGATTATCTGCCATCACCTATAGCATGTCCTCAGATCTGAGCTGTGTTTAGAAAGTAGACATGTAGACAACACGCTTTTGTGCTTGAAAGCCAAGCAAGTGTGAAGTTTAATTAGAAAAAAAATAAAGTACTTCTAGATTCATACTTAGGGTATGGGCACCAAAATATTTTGCACTGTAGCATCTCTGTTTGCATTTAAAGAACACGATTGTGAATCAGTGAGCTTTTGATGGTAGCAGTTCTAGGTTACTGTAGTGCTGCTGTATTACAACATGGAAAGCCACGTTTGTTTTCTCCATAGGCTTTAATATGAGGCTTCTTGCATTGTGTTAATATTAAGCACATTCTTGGGTTAAAAGCCAGTGTCAGGGATGAGCATCACAAATGCCTGCCTGCTGCGAGGGCTGAACAGCCCCCTGGAGCCACCAGCACCCCGAGTGCAGTGCAGGGAACAAAGAACACAGCAAGACCCGTGTTCTGTGCATCACACTCACACCAGTGTTTGCCCTCAGTCTATAAGGAGCTGCAGCTTCAACCAGATGCTGATTTATAAGGAGCTGTAGCTTTAACCAGAGGTTGCCCAGATGTTCTGGTAACAGCGTGCTGGAATGTATTCACACCAATTCAAGAGATGACCATTAAAAAGCATACCTAAAACACCTCGCAAAGCAAAACGAGAATGACATTTTATATTCACAGCTAACCCACACGGGCAATAAAACTAACTGGCTCCGAAACTTCGCGGCTAAAGAAGGCAGGGAAGGAAGGCTCCTGTGAGCTCAGTGCCACATCCACCCGGAGCTGTGCCACGTCTTGTCGAGACAGCAACTTCTGCACCGCGCTCAGCCTTCACTTCCAGAGCGCCGCGACTTCGTAACGCCGTGCCACAACAACAACCTTTGTCGCTACGAGTTTTAATGAATCCCTTTGATAGGCGTTTAATAAACGTGTGGTGTGGGAGAGAGAGCCGTTATCGAGCCCCCCTCAGCCCGCCGTTCGCTGCTTCATCCCGCCGCGCAGGCACAGCGCGATGCCAAGCGGCTTAGGACCGGACAGCGGCTCTCCTAAAAAAGAACGCACTCGCTCACGCCCTGAGGTTGGAACCCGGCTCTCTAGGAGAGCGTTTAATCCCTTCAAGGTTTGTTACACACAGCCGCAAACTTTCAGATGAGGGGAAAAAGAGGCACAAGTTGTGCAGCGCGAGCCTGAGGTAATGACGGGCGCCTGAAATTATTAACTTCGGAACGACGTTGCACCTTTTGAAAATGAAGATCGCGAACTCTCGCAAATACGACACTGCTGTTCGTAACATGAGGCAGGAGAATTAACACAACGTTCCACCGCTTTCGCGGCTCCGAGCATTGCCTTCTCCCCCTTCTCGCTCCCAAAGCCGCCGCCGCCCGCCCCGCATCCCACACGACGCGATTTAGGCTAAAATTCACCGAGCCCCGCCTGCGCGCACCGACACACGGCCCCAGCTCCGGGCACCGCCGCGCCCACCCCGCCGGGCGATGCCGCCCGACCCTCAGAGTTGTTCTCGGGGCTCGGGGCACTTACGATCCGGAGGACGCCCTGGAGCAAGACGAGCGGCAGCAGCTGCAGGTGCACCATGCTGGCTGCCGTCTACGAGGCGAATCCCTTCGCGCCGGCCTCGCGCATCTCCGCTCCGGGGAGAGGGGGAGGAGGGGGAGGCAGGACGGAGCGCGGGGACGCGCTGTCCCCTCACAGGGCGCGGACGGGCGGCGGAGAGCCCCCAGCACTGCCCCGCCGCTCCGCGCCGCGCCGCTCGGCTCCGCGGGCGGCCATGGCGGGCGGGCGGACGAGGAGGGGGGGGACGGAGGAGGCGGGAAGGAGGCGGCCGCACCGCCGACTCCGAGCTGCGGGGACCCCTCAGAACCGGGGCGGGGTGGGACCGGGCTTTGAGGTGGACCTTCCTGGCAAGTTTAAAGCCGAGGCGCAGCGGCCGCCCCCTCCATCCCTCCGAGCTGCCGGGGCGGTCCGTGCCCCCCGCAGCCCGCTCTGACCTCGCACCCCGCGCTCGTTCTGAGAGGCGTGCTAAGCGTCCCGCCCCACTGCCTGGCGATTCTGTGCTTTCCTCGCGTGGGTCTGAACCCCCAGCCGCACTGGAGGTGGGAGGTTTCAGTTTTCAAACCCTGCCCGTTATTCACAGTTTAGTTTCCTAATTCTCGCGGCTCTGTCGCGTCTTGTCACCACACCCGTGTTTAGGTTACACTTTGACCAGCCCTGCGTCTTCAGCTTTTAAAACACCCGGCGGTGTTAAGAGCTTTGGAAGAGCCTGGGAGAAGCCGTGAGTTTAACGCGCGACAGCGGTGGTTCCTGGGGGTTGTGTCCCACTGGCTCCTTCCTTAGACCTGCTGCTGGATGTCTGACAGAACGTGTCATGGGATGTGAACGAGCCACAAATTGCATTAATATCATCACAGAATCATAGAATCATGAAGGTTGGAAAAGACCTCTCAGATCCCCAAGTCCAACCCCAGCCCGCCCCACCACGCACACTGAGCACAGCCCTCAGTGCCACATCTCCACAGCTCCTGAACCCCTACAGGGATGGTGACTCCACCACCTTCCTGGGCAGCCTCTGCCACTGCGTCGCTGCTCATTCTGAGGTGATTTTTTTTTTTTTTTTTACCTAATTCCTCCATTTAAGTTGAGAAAATACACTGAAGCGTGGCAAAAAGGGACTATATCTAAACTGTACAGCTCTAAAATGGAAACTAAATCTAAACGGAACTACTCTAAGGTGGGTTAATATGCATCAGACTCAGGAGATTCAGAGAAATACCCAAACCAGAGACGCTCGCTGAATCAATGGAGGCTGCTCCGAAAGTAATGCTTCATACTTTATGATGTTAGCCCATGATCTCACAGGCAGATGTTGGGGTACAGCAGCAGAGGTTGAACCTTCCCACCAATATTCTGTGATATTTTGTTGTTGCTGTGCCACACATGGGCAGCAGAGGGGCAGACAGAATGGTGTCTGACATGGAAGGGTGTATGGAGCAAAGGTGTGTCACTGAACTCTTCCATGTGGAAAAAAATGGCACCCATTGACATTCAGTTAATGACTGCTGAACGTTTATGGAGACCAAACAATGGATGTGAGTACAATGTGGGGTGGTTGGTGTGTTTCAGCAGTGACAACTGTGGCAGTGGGTCACCTCCCCTGGGACAGATTGTTATGAGCTTGGCATGCAGGCTCCTGCTCATCACCGGCAAAAATGCATAGCTGACGGTGGTGACTATGGTGCAAAGTAGTGTTTTGCAGCTGAATTTGCTTTATCAAATAGTGCTACTGTGCTCTTTGTGTCTGGAGTGGTTTCCATTGAATTAAACAGGAGGCATTACTTTTGGAGGTAGCTGTGCACTATAATATAACCCAGTTAATTTTTTTAACACTATCGAAAAGTTCTTTTCAAACCTTGACTTTTAGCGACGTCTTTTAATATAGAATAACCAACATAAGCCACATAAGTTAGGACTTAAATATCAGAATGTAAGCCCCCAATTCTCTTCCTACCAGGGCAAAAGAAACGACGATCCCTATAGCACACGTGTGAGTGGAAGGATCTCTGGCTGCACACTCGGCTGTCCCTGCGTCCTGTGCCCGGCCTCGGCTCCCTGCAACCCATGCAAACTCCTCGGGCGCTCTCTGCTGCTCGCAGTGCCTTACTGCCCGCAGAGCCTCTGTGAGGGCTTCGTTTCCTCGTGACGAATCGCATTATGCAGCGGGGTGAAGAGTATTATGCAATTAGATAGACTTATGAAGACTGAAGTCGGATGAAGCATTTAGATAGATTTTATTTTTTTTTTAAATGAAAAGCTGGGCTCTATAAATTCAAGGAAAGCTGAATTTCTGTAATTGGCTTTTAATGGAACAATAGCGTTTAAACTAAAGTACTGTAGTTCTATCCTATTAAGTACAAACAGACTCAATTTCAATGACATTGACTTTGTCACACAAGCTATCAGAAGCTGGGCCTAAATCATACTTTTTCCAGATTAACCAGCTGCAAATGTTTGTAAAGCTCTTTGAAGATGAGAAGTACCATGCACATTAAGTGATAAGAAGTATTGTTATTTGTACTACTTCCCAGAAAAGTCACAGCAGTGTTGGTTAAGAACGGGATGTAAGGCTGAGCTCTGCATTCCCTGCATGGCTTTGGCTTCAAACATCATTGGAATGGGGAAGTGAAAATTTTCTGGTCTAATTTTAAGCACAGTAACAAATAGTTGCTTAATCTCAGGAAATAATATTTGCAGGAATTAATCCTGCTGTTCCATAAATGAATTGATGATACGGCTGCCAAAAGTGAAGTGAGAGCTAGGTCCTGCTTTGTTTTGAGACAGTGGAAAATACCTGTTTAACACATGCTCTGTAGTGCTCATGGACAAAGTCAGTAGTGATGTTTGTTCTTTGTCAAGTTGTTTATAAGCACAAACAAGTTCAGCCTGTAGTTAACACTGAACTCATCTGTTATTTGACCCTAATTCAATTCTCATGTGCTCCACACTGATTTAAAACATTGGCTTTGACCACTGCTCTTGGCTCTCTGTAAGTGTGAACAGATTCCACATAAAATAAAAAAATAAAAACTCCTTGAATCAGGGTGAGCATCTAAATTTAGATGCTAGCAGTCTTGCGGGACATTATTAATGTTTATTCTGTCTCTGTTGGAAATGCATTCAGTGATACATGGTGTTATCCTATTTTCAGTTTCAAGAATACGTCACGTACTTGACTGTAGTGCATCTCCTTTGCTTTGCTGTAAGCAATAACTTCAACCTTCCATTAGAATTCTTCTTGTGGTCCCTGATGTGTGTGACTGGGTACGCTGTGCAATTCTGTCCTCTTTCTTTCTTCTGTTTCAGTTGTTCCAATAACGTTACCCAGATCCTGCACGCTGCTGACAGCCTATCAGTTCTGTGTCACCAACATGTTTCAGCAGTATGCTCTTAAGTTTTAACTACTAATTAACTTACTGAATAGTAGTGGTCCCAGGATCAATTCTTGATGAACTTTTTTATTTCATTCCAGATCTGTAATACCATCTGTTAAATCATACCTAACTCTCTACTTAACTTTCCTGATCACTTTCTACAGCATATCCAATTTTTTCCCCACGGGACATCCAATCCTGTTTTGACTGAGGTCTTGATAGATGACTCTATTTCACGTGTCTAAAAAATTATTAATGTCATCAAAGATTGGTAATGAAATGATCATCCTACTTGACAAACTTCCGTTTTTTGAGGGGGAAGAAAAAACATAGAAAACAAGACAAGGAGGAATGGTTTTATACTAAGGCAGGGAAGGTTTAGGTTAGATATTAGGAGGAAGTTTTTCACACAGATATGAGGCACTGGAACAGGTTGCCCAAGTAGGTTGTGGATGCCCCAGCCCTGGAGGCATTCAAGGCCAGGCTGGATGTGGCTCTGGGCAGCCTGGTCTGCTGACTGGCAACCCTGCACATAGCAGGGGGTTGGAACGAGGTGGTCAGTGTGGTCCTTTTCAACTCAGGCTATTCTATGATTCTTTGAAAAACCACTCGGTCCAACACATTTATTCCATTTTCTATTTACCTATGTTTTCAAGCCTTTCTTTATTTTTTTTTCCTATTTCCAGCGGCTGTGCACATTTCTAAAACTCATGTTTGCTGATACCGTATTTCTTGTCCTTGGGGAGAAGAACTGAATTTGTTCTTCTACATATGCACCAGTCCTAACAGTACGGATCCATCACAAATGCTTTCTACCTGACTTGCAGTTTTCTGTGCTGGTTATTTTATGTTGGTTCCCTGAGACCACTTCTGTGTCTAGACCTGTCTGAACACATCAACTGTTGGACCCCAGTTTTGCCATGGTTTTTAGAACTTCCATTATCACTTTTTTTCCCTACCCTTTGTATTATCTACATTTGCCTAATATCCGGAATCTTCATTTATATTGAAAACCAAAGCAAAGACTCATTTTAAAGTACATCTCTGCTGTCTTCAGTTCTTTTTTCATCCTAAAGAAATAGTGCATTGCATTTTTCTTTCCATATACTCTTTTATGAGGCTGAAAAAATGCTGGCTACTTTTCCATTTGAATTTTTATGATTCTGACTTTATTACACTTCCTGACCTCTAATAAACACATTAGCTTTCATTATCAATCCTTTTTGTCATTTTTGTGGCCTGTGCTTATCTTTTATATTTTATCTGGCTAGGCCCAGCACTCCTGACACTGTGACATTAAGAACCTTAGTTGCCAGCCTATTTTTATGCTTCGATTCATTGAATTTGGTCAATATAAAGTTCTTTTCAAAAATCATTGCAAGCTCTTTAAATGTTGTAGCTCTGCTGTAAGAAAATCAGGCTGTGTAATTTATTTATTTTTGTATGCAGTGTATACATAGTGACTCTCATAGAGTTTAATAGAATCATAGAATGGCCTGGGTTGAAAAGGACCACAGTGCTCATCTAGCTCCAACCCCCTGCTATGTGTAGCATGGCCAGTCAGCAGATCAGGCTGCCCAGAGCCACATCCAGCCTGGCCTTGAATGCCTCCAGGGATGGGGCATCCACAACCTCCTTGGGCAACCTGTTCCAGTGCATCACCACGCTCT